AAAAAAATAAAAAATCGAAGGACAACGTACACCAGTACCAGGTACTACAGCAGTGCAGTATGCACCAGCGCATTAGTGTAGGGTAGGCACCGCACCAAAGAGGCAGCAGAGGTGGTAGGCAGCCAGCAAAGGAAAAAACAAAAATAACAAGGAGCTCGAGGTATCGTCCAAGATCATCGTAGAGAGGGCATGGAGAACAAGAAAGGAAGAAAGAAGAAAAAAAGCACGAAGAGTAGGTGTTATGGTGTTGTATCGTGTCGTCACATCTTTCTTGCACATATACAGAAGGCACATCTGAATTCGGGGCTGGTTGGACCGTTATTATTTCCCTCCGCGGCTGGTTTCGAAACGAGAACCAACCGTCTTGTCGTTTATTGTTCGCCTACGACAGGCAGAGCAGTACATGCGACTTACTCTGCACTTTATTCAAGAAACGCGCGAAGACATCCAGAAGTGATTGGAAAATATACACGCGATGCGTGCGTACGTACGTACGTGGAAGCACGCCGTGCTGTGCCATAGGCAGCAGCAGCAGGTCTGCTGTGGTCGATCCGGAAGCAAGCGAGGTTCGGCGCAGCGGCAGGATTCTGTTGTAGTGAGTGGCCTATCTACTACTACAGCAGAAGCAGTAGTAGTAGTAGACTAGACTATCGTCTATATAATAGACATGTCTAGATTTCGTTCCCTGCAATAAATATGCGCACTTTTGTCCTTTTGGCGCAGATCAAATTGATTGGTGGTTTTACTGACGCAGACTAGACTGTATATATAGAAACCAACACCAATCAGCCGAATGGAGGCATGGTGCTATGTTTGGCTGGCACATCTGATGTGTTTCAGCTTCACAGTGTCTGTCATGCACCATCGTTTTTTTTTTCCCGCGAGAGTTTGGCGACGACAAAGTCGCTCTAACAGCAGTGTCTGTATCTCACTCAGTGTTTTTTTTTTTTTCGGCGAGAGTTTGACTGGCAACCAATGGTTGTCGTTTCATGTCTAACAGGCACCCCCCCAAAAAGACCTGTCTCTCCCGCAACGCCGTGGTGGCCCCGACCCAAACCCCAAACAAACCCCTACCGGCATCGGGGACACGATGCTACAGCAGCATTATCACAGTAAGTAGTAGCACGTCGATCGCCACGAGGAGTACAGCAAGCAGTAGGTGTTATGGTGTTGTATCGTGTCGTCACATCTTTCTTGTACATATGGTCCGTTCGGGCAAATATTCACAATCTTGTTTTTCGCGATATTTGACGAAAAAAAACGATTTGGAAAGTGAAACAACTTTGGGCGTGACCGCGGCGTCGAGCGTCGTCGATATCCGATGAGTTTTTGGTGATTGGGTGAAATGCGACATTTTTGATCAAAATGACCCACGGAGCCCCCACCCCCCACCCCCTCATGACCCCACGGAGCCCCCAAAGTACACCACGACCCCCCCTCAACCCCTCCCTTCTACACGTATATGCCTTCAGAACATCAGTTATACCGTTGTCAATCCATATTTACATTATTTACACGTTACATATGTACATACATACTATACATACAATACCGCCGTTTACTTTCTACGCAACCCCTGACTGGTGAAGGTGCTGCAAACAAAGCATGCAGCAATCACANTTTGACGAAAAAAAACGATTTGGAAAGTGAAACAACTTTGGGCGTGACCGCGGCGTCGAGCGTCGTCGATATCCGATGAGTTTTTGGTGATTGGGTGAAATGCGACATTTTTGACCAAAATGACCCACGGAGCCCCC